ATACTACCGAAAAGTTGCAACTTCACTACAATCGGTCGTAATTAATTACCTCAATGCGGCAACACCACTAGGTGGGTTATAATATTTTTTTTCGAGCAATTTTTTTTTACCCGGTCATAATTATTTCTTAATGTTACATTTTATCTAACAAAGACTATAAATCGATTTTTTACTTACTACGATTTTTATATTTAGGTACGAATAATGAGTACCGTAATTTACCGTATAGAAGACCCCCCGAAATAGTAGATCCACCATGTATTATACCCGGGTATAATTATAGGAGATAAATATTAAAAGACCCGGGTATGATAGCTTGAAAATATCTTCGTATACACTCCTTATATAAGTGATCTCAATATCTATATTTTATGCGATATGTTATAGTTGCTTAATGCGAATGCATTATCAATACATGCAAACTGTATTTATTATCTTTATATAACCCATTTACTTTTATAATTCACGTTTATGAGAATCTTATTATTATTGTTTTGCGTTAAAATTTAAATAATTATGCGGGCAAGCAAAGTGTAATATCAAGTGAATTTATGTATTATCTTGATAGCTTGAACTTTTGCTATTTTGAGCCGATGTTCCGATAGAATGGTATCAACATAAGATTTATTAGGAATAAATATTAATGTGCAGTTAATTTTGGTATATACAATAAATTAAACAGAATTAAACCAAAACCAAATCATGAAACAAAATATTTCAATTCTCAATTTCTGTTAGCTCTAGTTTATTTGCAAAGTTTCGTAATATTTAACTTCTAACACTGCATCTCGTATGAGTATAACTGAAACTGTTTTATTCTATCCAGAATATCGATGATTTGCCGGATCATGGGGATAATGTGTTAGTATAGACAAACGAAAAAACTTATAGTGTTGGCAATAGATAGATCTCGATTTTATTACAATCAATAAAGCAAACGTGATTTTTAGATTCTTTTTCTTGATTAAAAATCACAATAAAGTGTGTAATTAAATTTATTATATAATAAGCAATAAAAATTTAAATTATTTTATTATCAAACAATACATTATAATATTGTAATTAAACAAATATTAAATTAGTTTAATATTTTAACAAAGTGTTTAACGCACAAAGTTTAATTTTAACTATCTTTAAAAATAAAGATATTCTATGATACAATCGAAATACTAAATAATCAACTAAATTAACTTATACAATAAAGAAAAATGATGTCATTTCATTACACATGTTAGAATTAATCACCACTAAAATTAAAATTTTTATTTGTGAAATAAATTCGATGGTTGTTTGCCCCAGTCGTGACTTGTTGATGAAGCGTATGCTAAGATCCATTTAGTATCCGTAAGAGTGTATTTGAGCGCTTTTGTCCAGGTTTCAAATTGGTTGAATTGTAGTCTTATTGATGCGTCACCAATTTTATCTTTATTAATCCTATATGAAATAAATTTGGCATCAGCATAAAACTCTGACAAAACTATAAATATTAAAGACGTTATAATCATAATTCACCGATATGGTAATCTGAAATTATTTTCTTGACGTTCAGCATAATCACCCAACTGCTGTAAACAGTTTAAAAAGGCCACCATTGCGTGGTCAAAACGACGATTCAAAAACAATCTTCCTAATGCTACATCACCTGAGCCATACCTAAAATATAAAAGTGCATATGTCAAATTATGTAATAAAAATATGATTATTTTAAAATGACTTACAATTCATATGTAGATTTCTTTTCACCATCAATATGTTCAATCTTTGAAAAAGAACCCAACGGGAGTAATCGATAACTAAAGTATTTCTACAAGTTAGTCAATATAGATATTTTTTTTTAAAAAAAAGGAAAAGTAGCGTACTTTTTGAATGTGAAGTTAAGTTTGTTAGCAATGGTCGCCAATAATAAGAGCGTTTGTCCCCAGGCTGCATTAATTTCATTCCAATCAACCTTATTATTTGTTAGAAAATGAATATTATTTCCACTTAATTTTCATACTTTGATTTCATGGTTGAAAGTAGAATTATGATATTATACCGTCACGTCTGGCAAACGGCCAAGTCTAAAACCGTTAATAGTTCCAAAATGGCCATCATGACTAATACAGAAAGTGTCATTATATACATTGGTCCTTTGAAGTTTTTCTAATTGTTTTGCATCATGATCATATTTCAAATTGACACTATCTCTCTCATTTTGAAAAGTTTGTAGTTGAATATGGAAATCATTAAATTCCTGCCAGTAGCTAAATTTACAAAATTTACAAATAAAATAAATATACAAGGTATTTTGGTTAAACAATTCACACTGGCATTAAGACAATAATATTACCTTTCTTCGAGTTTATCAAGTTCTCTGGCCTCTTCTTCCAATTCAGCCAATTCTTTTTTCAATGTATCACGTTCAGCTTCTATTTCTTTTAATGTTTTAATAGCAGCTAGTTCACTGGATCGTATCTGCAGTACATTTCATAATTAATTATAATTTAATAAATTCAACCATTTATTTACTTTTAAAACTACCTCTTGAATTTCTTTTTGTAAGCTTTCCTGTTCAGCGTCACTTATAACACTGACATTAACTTTCTTTAAAAAATCTATATAACAATCTCTTTCTCTGGATGCATCAGACAATTGTTTACTTAAACTATCCAAAAGCATATCAGTGCATTCTTGACACATGGGATGATCTATTTCGGATCTAGATGACATAAGATCAAAAAGACGGTTGGTGACTTTAAGTCTATAGCTAAGACTAGCTCTTTGCCTGTCATCATTGTTCGCGTCTATGGTACCATGCTCCGATGATACTTGGTTGTTCAGAGGCTGTGTCACTTGCGAACGAGATAACATTACATAGGACTCTGATGGTAACAAGAAAGATTCTTTAGTGCTAATCTCCCTGTTCGGAGATCGAGATAATTCAAAATTCTTTGATCCTGATCGTTTATTTGGTACAGAAATCCCATTCTGGTTGTTATTAGAAATCGTTTGCTTAGAGCTTCCATTAATTTCTGCAGTTTCAGATCGTCGGTCTGTTGTCGATGAGCTTGGTGTACGAACGACCTCTTCAGAAAGTGGTGCTAGGAAAATTTGATTGTTCTGTTAGGTTTGAAGCAATGGATTGTTAAATTAGAAAACATATACTACCTAGTAAGATATCAATTGAGGTTGAACCAAGATCGGTAAGTGTGTCGTCAATTCTTAGGGTATGTTTACAACGCTGACATGTAAATACTGGAGTTTGTTCCATATTGAAAAGAGAATGTTTCTGAAAAGTCTGCGTATAATGATAATCTTTTAATTATCACAGTAATACAATCACCATGATCAACCTATCAGGGCATTCTTTATATGAAATAGAAATTTTTGATCAAATCATTCCTTCTCCTTCTCACCGCTTTTGTCATCTCGCAAGATGGTGAGTTTTTTTAAATTAATCCATTATATTTAAAATATATTTTATTCACAAACAAGATATCATTACGTTATATATTCAAATTATCGAAGTTATTGATATCGTAAAATTCAGAAAATTGAAATTGATCAAATTTGATGCGACTGCATTATATAAATTTAACGAACGTACTTAAAAATTTTTTAATGAATTAATATTTGAAAAATAATTGAACACTCATTAGCAATATCTTTTTAGATTTCTTTGACCAGAATATTTCGAGCATTGCTAGTCTTTTTTTAGTTAATTGTTTTTTTTTTTTTTTGTAAACGAATGTTGACAATAGTCTGCGGCAAGGCCTAATATCAGCGTTTACTCCGAAACGGGAGATAGTTGTATTGAAACCATAGAATTTCCTGCGGTATTTAAAGCACCAATTCGACCAGATATTGTGAGATTTGTTCATAAAAATATCTCCAAAAGTAACCGTCAGCCTTATGCAGTATCATCAAAAGCTGGTCATCAAACTTCAGCAGAATCTTGGGGTACTGGACGTGCAGTTGCTCGTATTCCTAGAGTTTCTGGTGGAGGTACCCATCGTGCTGGACAGGTTCTCAGATTTTTAAACTTATTTTATAGAAACACGACGGGTTAATATAATAATAACCTTATGATTTATTGTGAATTATTTCTAGGGTGCTTTCGGTAACATGTGTCGTGGTGGTCGCATGTTCGCACCTACTAAAATCTGGCGCAAATGGCATATCAAAACAAATCTTAACCAAAAACGATTCGCCACTGCATCAGCTTTGGCGGCGTCAGCTATTCCATCACTCGTATTGGCACGAGGTCATAGAATTGAAGAAATTCAGGAAATACCGCTTGTTATTGGAAGCGGTATTGAATCTTTGGTGAAAACCAAAATGGCCATTGAACTTCTGAAAACCACCCATGCTTATAGGGATGTGGTTAAAGTTTCTAATTCTCGTAAATTACGAGCTGGTAAAGGTAAAATGCGTAATAGACGCCATCGTCAACGTAGAGGACCGTTGATAGTCTATAATGAAGACCTTGGTGTTGTGAATGCTTTTCGCAACATTCCTGGAGTTGAAGTGGTTAACGTTAGAAATTTAAATTTATTACAATTGGCGCCTGGTGGCCATTTGGGTAGATTTATTATTTGGTCTCAGGGCGCTTTTGCATTGTTGGACGCCCTGTTTGGAACTTATAAAAAGCCTTCTGAATTGAAAAAGGACTATCGGTATGATATAATCTTAATAATAATTAAAAAATACAATCTTATAATAATAATTACTGCTTTGTAACCCTATTACTAAGTTCACTTATTTTCACCTTGTTATGATTAGTTTGCCACAGAACATCATTTCTAATTCTGACGTCACCCGTCTCATCAATTCCAATGAGATTCAACAAGTCCTTCGACCTGCCGGAGAAAAACATCAAAAACGTCCTTATACTCAAAAGAAAAATCCTCTCCGTAACAATGGTGTGAAAATCCGTTTAAATCCTTATGCTAAAGTTTTACAAAGAGCAGAAATTCTTGCTGCTCGCAAAGCGAGTAAAGTGAAAAAGAAACGAGTTCACTTCAAAGCTTCAACAAAGGTTGCACCAAGGTATTATCACTATTATTATTTTTTGTCAGTTCACAATTCACATTAGTTCGTATGCTGAAAGTATTTTAAAAATCGATTTTAAAAAATCCACTTTATTAGATTTGTCGAAATCTTGTTGGACTAACCCATAACATCAAAAGGTGATGATTTTAGGAACAAGTAGTGATCCTGGTAGTAATGAAAAAAATCGGCTAAAACTGATTTTCGACGATTTTTTTCAAAATGGACTAATCGATTTCTTATAACGATAATAATTAATAAGCTTTGATCATTGCAAAAATTGTTTCTTTTTTTGTATATATATTGCAAATAGCAAATAATAAATTGTTATAATAAATCGTCGATGAACCTAAAGGAAATTTATAGAACGTTACTATAAATAGCCAATGATATTTCGAGAATTGACAACCAATCAAATTTGATTTTATGTTCTGCTAGTACAGAATGTAGTATACTGTATGTACTGTATGTAAAATCTGTAAGCGAATCATTATTTAAGATTGAACCAATTAAACTTATGCCAATTTTGGGGACACTTACCATTCACGTGAATTTGCACTTACAAATTATTCGGACTTATATGTACGTTCGAGTAATTTGGTAAGTGTCTGGAGACTTTCACCATTTTTGCACTGGGGCATGACAATCATAAGGTGGCAAATAAGCATTTAAAATGTAAACTACGCCTCTCCATAAGATTGGCCACGCCCAGTGTCAAATGGGTTGAAATCAACATAATTAACGAATAGGATTTTACTTACAGGTCACATATAAAATTTAGAAAGTTTAAAGAAAAAATTTTATAATAAAAAATTTGGAAAAAAACTTTTAAACTTTTATTATTTGAAAGTTTTTTTATATTTTTAAGAAAATTTCTTAATAAAGTTAATAAAATAGATTTTAAAATATATTTTTTACTTAGTAAGTATATAGCTAAAATTAATATTCAAAATTTTATTGAAAAATTTAAATATTAAAAAAATTAGTAAAAATCTTCACAGGCAAATTTGCCTGTGTTACAATTTAAGGGATAGCTTTTTTAACTTCATGCCACTATTTTTAGCTATAGCTTTTTTAACCCCATGACATTATTTTTTTTTTAACTACACCAAAGTTCATTTAAAAAGTTCATTTATTAAAGTCACTATTTTTAAAAATGGAAAGTGAAGATAATGCCAAAATTCTTGAAAAGCAGACACTAAACATTGAAGTAAAGTAAGTAGTAAACTTTTTGAGTCACTTTAATACAGTTATTACATTTGTTTTTTAGCTAACCAGAACTGTAAATAATTAGTAACCAAAATTCAGCTGAACTAGTAGATGCTCTGACAATAGAACAAATGTTTGGCAGTTGGAATGAATTAGATCATTTTATTTCTTTCTATACACAATCACAAAATTTTGTTAGCGTGATATGTAGCTCAGAATACAAGAATGGAATCTGTTGAAGCTGCCAATATGCTTGTAAACACCAAGATTATAGCACTATGAAGAATAAAACAAGTATTGTTGAAAATCAGCAGCAAACTCAAAACAAATATATTGGGTGCTATTGGCAGATTTGTGCAAGTTGTTCCAAAACAATTGGTGTATTAAGTATAAGTTCTCTTTATTTGAGCCATAACAATCACTCATTTAAAAATGAAACAAATAAGTTTGCTTCTAAGTATCAAACATTTTTTGAAAATATGTTGAAAAATATTCAGTTTTAGACAGAAATTGGTAATCTTAATATGAGAACTCAATATTGAATATTATCAAAACAATATCCAGATATATTTTTTTTGTTTAAAAACCTTACTAACACTATTCAAACCTTCAAACAACAAAATCATGTTGAATATGAAGCTGCTATCTTGCTTAACCACCTTCTAGAACATAAAGGTGATGACAATAGATAGGTTATTAATTGAAAAGTTGATTTCTCTTACTTTTCTATTTTGGATGTCACCTGATTAATATGATTTGTACTTGTATTACTATGATATTATCCAATATAACAATACATACTTCAACAAATTGATTTAAAATGGCATTGAGTTTTTTTATAATTGTGGATAATAACAATTGATCTAGGTTGGTGAGACAAGCACTAATTAATAATGAAATAGCTAAAAGTTACAAATGAGTTTTCTAACTTTAATTATGAATACAAAAGCTGAACTTTAACAATAATAACGGATAATGATCTTGCTATTAATATCGTTATTGCTAATATTTTACTCAATGCATATCATGTTTATTGTATTTACCATATTGGTCAAAATTTAATAAAAAATTTAAAAGCAAAACTTGGAGAATAATATAATGAATTTTCTAAGAATTAGTACCAAATGTGTAATTTGCTATCATTTCAACATTTTAATTATTTATAGAACAAGCTTTTATTAAAATTTCCTGATACTACTTTTTATTTTAACCGTGCACTTTCTAATTAAAAAGAAAAATGAGCTCTTTGTTATACCTTTAAAATTTTTACTACTGGAATGCAGTCAATACAATGAGTAGAGAGTCAAAATTCTATTATAAAAAATTTTGTCAACAGTAACGCATCTTTAATCAACCTTGTGAAATATATCAATAAACAGATTGATTATGCGTCTACCTTTATTCAGTATAAAAACTGGATCTATTTTATTACAGGATCTACACTTAATCATGCAAGTTTAAATTTTTACCTAATATCAATGAATGGATTGCTACTTACTTGACATCATCTTTTCTATCATTTAGCAGCAAGAAATTGTACAAGCTATATGGTATACATCAAGATTTATTAATTTTCAAGATTCTAGATTGCAATTTGATTCAATTAAGCAATTTAATTTAAATAAACAATCTAATGTAACTGGACAATGTAATTTGAGTGAATCTGACACAATTGATATTTGTAATCTCTTTGTTGAAAAAGCTGTCAGTACACCTGGTATTTTAATTAAAGAACTAATTTCGTTTGTGAAAGTCCCATCTATTTTTAAAATTTAAAAAATTACTTGTCACAGATGCAAAGCAAAAAATTATGTAATCTTGTTTAACAATAATTCACATTTATGCACATGTTTTGAGTTAATCCAACACAGTTTCATCTGTAGACACTTTTTTCAAGTCATAATAATGTCTAAACATGCTTCATTTTATATTATGCTCATATCAAAAAAGATAGTATTCTGACAAAAAACAAATTGAACCAGAATCACAAACATGGCAACATTCTTTTATTATTGGATTGGGTGATAGTATAAACACAAAAACTTCTGCTCATATTAAGCAATCCTTTTCAGATTCGTTTTTTTATATACCAAAAATTTCATTTACCAATATTCATACTAAGGTTAATTATTATAAAACATATGGAATAATCAATGGATTGTCAAAAAAGGCAATACAAACTGGTATAGATGCTGGCTTTGGTGCAGTAAAAGAGCTCGAAAATTTTATAAGTGGATTTATTACTAAATATGGTCTAAAAAAAAAAGAAAAGCTGATTCACAGAAAGAATATAAAAAAACAAAATGAGAATGAGAATAAGAGTAAGAATGAGGATAAGAGTGAGGATAAAAGTGAGAATTAGAGTAATGATAAAAGTAAGGATGAGAGTGAGGATGGAGATAAAGATGAAACTACTTCAAGTTCGGATAAAGAAAATTTTATTATAGTTAAAAATCTGATAATCTATTCAAAAAAGAGTGCTTCAAGAAAAAAGTGGTTTAAAGATTCACATGAATTTGAGAGTAAAAGAAAATCCAATACTAAAAAGCATTCAAAAATTCAAAAGACAAAAAAGCCAACACAATACTAGCAGTATCAAAATACGGGTTATAACAAAGCTAGTTGTGAAGCATAGTACAAATAGCAAAATCTTTCATATTTATATTAATAAAGTATGCATTTGCTATTACTGTTTATAGAAAGAATTTGAATACTGTAACTTCAAATGCTAAATCGAATATATAATTAGTTAGGATTGAATACAGTATGTAACTATACTAACTAGGTTGTGTTTGCAGAATTTATAAGAATTTAATTGAATTCATATTAATAAGCATTATATCAAATCTATTCTTTACAAATGAAGCTTTTTTGATAGTTAAAGCTATACTTTTTTTTTCAAATTGTATATCATATATGTCCGAAAATAGGCTATGTTCAAAAATAAGCTACCTCTTCTTTTCTTGGAAAAGAAACATAGGAAAATTTGTAATTCTGAAAATAAGCTACCCTGATAATTTCTTAAAATCTGGAAGTAGTTTCTATATATAAAAGTCAAATTTTATTAAGTAAATCGATAAAAGTCACTTAATAGGAGTTGTTCAGGACGTAAAAATACACATATCCTGAAAGTTTGAGAACTTTTTACTAAGATGTTTTTGCATTTTATATTCAAACGTAAAATGCAAAAACATCTTAGTAACAAGTTCTCCGATTTGCTTCAAACTTTCAGAATATGTGTATTTTTACGTCCTCAACAACCGCTATTAAGTGACTTTCATCGATTTACTTAGTAGAATTTTGACTTTTATATATAGAAACTACATCCAGATTTTAAAAAAATAATAAAAATCAACCTTTTCGAAATTTTACCCAAAAATAAGCTACTCCTGAGATTTTTGTGTCACTTTTTTGGCCAAAAAAGTAGCTTATTTTCGGAAATATATGGTAATATTTTGCCAAGAGACTCTTGAATCAAAAACACTGACTTGGGAGGATAAGCTATTTGTGCATTATGAATACTATGCCAGAATTACTAGAATTAAAATAAAATATGTAAATTTTAATTTTTTTGATGAAATTTATCAAATTGTTCTGTAATCAAATTTTTTTTCATTAGAAAATAGTTGGAAATTTCCAATATGGGGCAATCTTGGTAAAAAAGAACTAAAGATTATATTAAAAAATTATCAGATAAATATAATTACATTTAGTATGCAATTTTTAGACACTAATTGAAAATATCAAATGTATAATTCCAAGTAATTGGCTACTCAGATTACTTGATTATAAATTTCCAAACAATCTTTATAGTTGTAGCACGTCATATGTAATTTATTACTTTGTGTACTTGGATTATATTTATAATGTTAAGGAAAATACCAAGTGATCACTTTTAGATCATGCATGTAGTATGTGATTTATTATTTCATGCACTTGGTAATGTTAAGAAAAATACCAAGTGATTATTTCTAGATTATGCATTTTATATATAAACTATTACATCATGTGCTTGAATTAAATATACTTATTAAATTATTAGAATATTGCGATTCATTAATTAGATTACATATTTAGAGTGTATTAGAGTAATTGTTATTTACATTAATACTCTGTATTATATTTATTAATTTACTATATATTTATCTTTTTTTTTTTTTTTTAAATTCAGCAGTCATGCTTTAACTTTATTAGGCTTTGTACGAACCCTATAGACTCGTAAAATTTTACACTAAGTTGC